CCATTTTTGTCCTTTATCATGTTCATCTTTGCACAAAATGTTCCTTTAATATCTCCGATTTTCCTGAACAGATCTCTGGTTTTCCCTTTTCTATTATTTTCCTCTATTTCTTTGCATTGTTCATTTAAGGCCCTCTTGTCTCTCCTTGCTATTCTTTGGAGGTCTGCATTCAATTTTCTGTAACTTTTCTTATCTCCCTGCCTTTTTGTTTCCCTTCTCTTTTCTGCTATTTGTAAGGCCTCGTTGGACAGCCACTTTGCTTTCTTGCATTTCCTTTTCTTTGGGATGGTTTTGGTTGCTGCCTCCTGTACAATATTACGAGCCACCATCCAAAGTTCTTCAGGCACTCTGTCCACCAAATCTAGTCCGTTAAATCACTTCCACTGTGTATTCATAAGGGATTTGGTTTAGATTATATCTGACTAGCCCAGTGTTTTTTTTCTACTCTCTTCAGTTTAAGCTTGAATTTTGCTATGAGAAGCTGATGATCAGAGCCACAATCAGCTCCAGGTTTTTTTTCTCCTGACTGTATTGAGCTTTTCCATCTTTGGCTGCAGAGAATATAATCAATCTGAATTCGGTATTGCCCATCTGGTGATTTCCATATGTAGAGTCGCCTCTTGTGTTGTTGGAAAAGAGTGTTTGTGATGACCAGCTTGTTCTCTTAACATTTTTAATGTCATAGTCATGTAATACTCATGGTTGATTTAGGAGCTATAGAGCAATCCTATACTTGAATTACTGTATTTTTCAGTGTATAAGACTATACTTTTGTCTAAAAATTTTAGACTAAAAATTGAGGATCGTCTTATACATGGAAGTAAGCTGAGGAGAGTACAAAAACAAGTGGAGGGGAAAGCAGGGATCAAATTGTTCCTGCAGGGCTTTGATCCCTGCTTTCCCCTTCACTTGCTAATCCTTAGCAAAAGGAAAGCAGGGATCAAAACACTGCTCAGTCCCATGTGGCTTAACAAAAGGAGGGGGGAAAGAATCAAAGCAATCCCGTGGCTGTATAAGGGGGAAAGGGATCAAAATGATCGTGCAGTTGTGGGATTGTTTTGATCCCTCTCCCTGTGGGGCTTAGCACAAAGGGAGAAAGCAGGGATCAAAGCGATCCTGCAGTGCTTTGATCCCTTTCCCACTACACTTGCTAAGCCCCACTTAGATTTCTTAATTTTGGGTTAGAAAAGTGGGGGGTGTCTTATACATGGGGGCGTCTTATACACAAAGTCCCGAAGCATATACAAGTCAAACTTTCTAGGTGAATAAGGTGGGCACGTGGAATTGGTTTTGTTGTTCTCTTTAGGAATTGCTAGAAATGGGTGCCTGGGCTTTAAAGCTGATGCT